AACAAATGCATGTTGTTAAACTGTATTATATTTTTAATGCAGTTTTGCATTAAAAAAGTATTTTTAAATTTTTAATACAAAAAATACATGTTGTTAAACTGTATTATCATGAGGAATTAAAGTGAATATCATTGTAAAAAAATCGTGGCATGTGGTTATATTTTTAATGCAAAACTGTATTTTTTAATTTGTTGTTAATGCAAAAAAATACATTAACAAATACATGTTGTTAAACTGTATTATATTTTTAATGCAGTTTTGCATTAAAAAAGTATTTTTAATGCAAAAAATAAATGTTGTTAAACTTTATTATCATGAGGAATTACAGTGAATATCATTGTAAAATATCATGTATGATAATTATATTAGCTTGCAATTATCAATTTTATTATTAAATTTTTAATGCAAAAAATGTATGTTCTTGATAATTGAGTTGTAGGCATGTTTGGAGCTTGCTTTTTTTATTATATTATCTTGCATATTTGTAATTGAGATGTATGAATATTTGGCATGTGTGACTTATAGAGACTTTTTTTTATCTATAATGTTGCATAAATATTTTTTTTTTCTCAGTAGGAACTAATTCATATTTGTCGAAATGAAGATTTGTGACAAGTCCATATGTATTCGCATTGTGAATTACTATACGATTGTAAATATATTTTTTATTGATACTATATCAATGTAAATTTATTGTTCTTTATGTAGTGGCTGATATAAGCTATTTTTATCTATAATGTTGCATAAATAAATTATTTTTCCTAGTAGGAATTAAAATATTTTTGTAAATAGAAGTATTTTGCATTAACTAACAAATATAACTTCATGAACTACCCCTACATATTATCACTACAAATGGTGATTATTTTTCATGTTCAACTGTCAGGTTAATTTTTAACCTTTTACATTTTAAAGTTGAACCATGGCAAGATCTGCAGAAGACCCTGCATGGCAACAATGGGGTCAGACTTGAACCCAACAAAAAAGACAAAATTATTTGTAATTACTGCCAAAGAGTGATAAGTAATGGGGTACATAGGTTCAAGCAACACTTGACAGGGTTTAAGGGAGATGTTTCTGCGTGCAATAGTATCCCTAATAATGTAAGAAAGCAGATGGCGGCATTTCTCAAGGCTACCAAAGGAAAAAAAATTGCAAAGCAGAGGATGGATGAGGATATAGCTAGTTTATATAAGCCATCAAGCGGGAATGATCTAGAAGAGCAATATAATAATGACTTGAAGATGGCCACAAGAATGAGTTTACATGAAACATATCAGAGGAAACGCGGGTTTAGAACGCTTGGTGGTTATGACATGGGCATGAATGGTGGGCCTAGCTTAGACATGCATGGCGGGCCCAGCTCGAGCATGTATGACGAGCCCAACTCAAATATATTTGGAGGGGTTGATGGCAATATGTATCAAGAAGAATCAGACGTTAAAGAAATTGTTTCTAGCTTACCTAGGAGTGCCAGTATTGCAAGTCATGGTCGTATAGACCCATTTCTCTCAAAGCCTAAATCACAACAGATGACCCTAAAAGGCATGGTTAAATGTACAAGAAACATGTTGGGGAGATATGTTGGTAAATGGTTCAACGATAAAAGGATTCCCTTTGATGCAGCCAATAGCCCATATTTTCCACCTATGGTCAGTGCAATCCAAAGAGCCGGCCCGAGGTAAAACCCCCGAGGGCATATGAGCTCAGTGGACCAATATTACATGAAGAGGTGAAGGAAGTTACAAAGCGAATTAAAGAATACAAACAGAGTGGGCCAAGGACAAGCATAACTCTCATGAGTGATGGTTTGATGGTTGGTTTAATAAAGTTAGCAAAAAAGAGTTTTTAAACTTCTTCGCCTATTCCTCAAAAGGTACAACTTTTTTGTCTAGCAAAGACGTATTAGGGACGAAGAAGGATACAAACTTCTACGTACGACTATATGATCAGATAGTAGAGGAGGTGGGAGATAAGCATGTAGTCCAGTTTATTACGGACAATGCGCGTGCATGTGTTTCTGCGCGTAGCAAGTTGATGGATAAGAGGAAGCATCTAATATGGACCCCGTGTGCTGCATACAGCATCGATCTTATGTTAGAGGAGATCGGTGAGATCAAAATTGTGAAAGAGACTCTAAAGGAAGCAAGGTTGGTGTCGAGATTTATATACAACCACTCTAAAATTTTATTTCTGTTTAGAGAACACTATAAGAAAAAAGAGATAATCAGGCCTGCCATAACCCGCTTTGCGATCGATTAATTAGCTGTGGACTCCAATCGAAAATCTGAAGGTGCATTAAAGAGAATGTTTACTTGTGAAGAGTGGTTAAATGACCGCCTCTCGAAGTCCAATACCGGTATAAAAGTGGACGGCCTAGTCTCAAATAGTAGGTTCTGGTCTCAATGTTCCAGTGTCGTAGAGACCACTGCCCCTTTGGTCACGGTGTTAAGAATGGTGGATGCTAACAAGAAAGCTACCATGGGCATCCTTTATGAAGGTATCGAGAGGGCGAAATCAGCAATTGGGGAGCCGTGGAGTTTTGCTAGCAAAGTGATCGAGATTATAGAAAGGAGGTGGAACATCAAATTTGGACGTCCAATTCATTATGCTGGTAAATATATATTTATATGATTAGAATGTTTCATTTTAAATCATTTTTTTATGAAATTGTAAATGACATTTTTCTATCTACATATTTTCTAGGTTACTACTTCAACCCAAAATTTTTCTATTTGACACCTGAACATCCCTACAAGATTATAGAAGGGTCAGATACATTATTGCAAGGTTAGAGAGAAGCCATCGAAACCAAGTAGCAGCAATACAAGAGATATTATTTAATGTTTGGGTAAGGACTTCATTGAGTTGTTATGTTTGTGAGGAATAATGCACTAAAACAAAATATATTTGTTTTAGCTTGCTATGTATAGGGATGCTATAGGATCCTTCGGAACTAGACTTGCTAGGAATTCTCGATCTAAGATGGATCCAGGTTATCCCCTCGCTAATATTTTGTTCATTCATATATTTAATCTTATGAATTGTTCTTGCCCTTACAATGCTTTTTGCATTTGAATCCAGCCGAATGGTGGGAGATATATGGTACTAATGCACCTCACCTAAAGAGGATAGCAATCAAGGTGCTCTCCCAGACATGTTCTGCTACTGGCTATGAGCGCAACTGGAGTACGTTCCAATGGTTGCACACTACTAGGAGGAATCGACTCGCTTTGGAGAAGCTTCATAAACTAGTTTACGTTCATTATAACTTAAACCTCCGAGAGCTACAAATAAGAAGGAAGCTTGAAGATTATGAGCCGATAGACTTAAACACAATATTTGTCACAAACACAGCAGACCAATGGGTAATAAAAGAGGACGAGTCAGTGTTGCACAAGAGAGCATTCCTTGAGACTATTGGTGAGGAAGATCTTGAAGAAAGTGATGAGCAGCATGAAAGAGGAAGCAGCCAGCCAACGTATCCACAATTCGTCAGAGAAGTCGGTGATATTGCACTTAATGAGGGAGAGTGAGAAGGAGGTCTAAGGCAAAATGAGAGAGATGATGATTCTGAAGCCACCCTATCCCAGCCATATTATTCACATATCGAATCCCAACAGCAACAGTGTAGGGATGAGCACGACAGTGTAGGTAAGCATGAAGAATGGACAAGCTTCGGGGATTTTGGATTGGGAACACAACAGAATACTAACACTTAAAGATTTGGGTATAGTCAGACGCCTGCTAATATCGATGATTTGTTTTTAGATCGAATCAATGAATTGTCAAACGAATTCAATCAATGGCATCAGCGTGACCAAGAAGAAGAACGACGTCGTCTGTCATTTTATTTTTAGATCATATGTTACTAATTGTATGCTTTATTGTAGTCCATGTATGTTGATATACTTATTCCATGATAATTCTATGTTTATCCTTTTGTGTGATGTAAATTAAATGATAAATAGTAGTTAATGCAGGGAAAGAACATATCAATATTTGCATATTCATGCAAAGAAGTAAAAATTCTTAATGGAGTACCCTCATTTCTTATTGAATTCCTAAAAAACAATATTTGTAATGAATTATAATAATTTTTTTGGACTTTTTTGAAGCTTTAGTCTGATCGATTTAGCCGATTCCCGATCCGGATCGCCGATTCACCGATCCGGATTGGTTTTTGAGGTACCCGATCCAAGTCACCGATCCGCTTTTTAAACCATTGGTTCCAACTAGGGTTTATCGGTGGGCACCGTCCAAGAAAGTCATGATTTATAGATTGTTCGTTGACTAACCACATTTAAAGTTACAAGCACTTAACACATGGATTGGATGACCCTTACCACCTCAGGAACAACAGTCATTTTCATAAATGAAAATGTACAATCCTAAAAATTCTGAAAATGTTACAAAGGAGAAAAAAGGAACAAACGATTGATCTTTAAACCTTTTAGATCTCTACAAATGGAACCATGAAGATAACGTTGGACTCTCATAAGCAAAAAGAAACTAAAAAACCCTAAGTTCTCCACAAAGGGATTATAGAAGAGGGTGAAGTTTCCTTGAACCCTAAAACATCTAGGCAAGGAACATGCAAACCCAAAATTCACACAAAAGAAGAATTAGAAAAAAAGAAGAAAGATCAAGCATAAACACTACAATATAAACATATAAATTATATATTCAAGTAAATCATGAACATACTAAGAGCACGTAAAAAGGAATCTCTGTGACAGCCCAAACCATCAACAAATGAAACAACAAAACCCTTAATATCTCTGGCCATTTGAGATAGAAACAGGAAAATTCTAGCCTCTAAACCCTAAAACCTCTGCAACCAAGAATTAATAGATGAAAACCATAATATCCCTTGTAAAAGAACACGAAAGAATCAGAAACAGAGCACAGTTCAAAATAATCCTAACACTTTTGAAAAACTTTGAAATCCCCCAAATGCACAACAACAAACAAGTAGCAGTAGAAAGATGAGCACTTACATTGAAACCCTCCATTCTAAGGCACTGTAAATGAGCTTCGATCCACTTCGAGCAAGCAGCTTCACCATGTTCAACTATGCACTCGTCTCTCAGTCTCTTTGTATCAGGGCAAACACAACAAATCTTCTTCCTCTTTGTCCGTTCCTCAGCCCTAGGCTTAGGCTCCACGGAAGAAAGAGTTTCGTTCATCAATGCCTGCTTCTCTGAAATTTTTCCTGGGTCAGAGTTTGCCACCGCCATGGCCTCACTCCTGGATACGGTCACGTTCCCCATGAAATCAGAAAACGGTTCTCAATACTTCCTCCAACTAGAAAACGAGCCTTACTCCACCTCTCTCTATTCAAAATATAACTTGATACTCTTTTTTTTTTTCTCTCTCTAGAAACTTTTGTTTAGCGAAAGAAAATGGAAGAATCTGTTCGGTCATTGCACGCCCTCTTTCTCTCTCTAGAAAAAGGAAGAATCTCTCGGTCATTTCACTCCCTCTTTCTCTCTCTAGAAAATAACTCACTTTTTGTCCGTTGCTAGCTTACTGAAAAACTTGTTGAACTTCGATTGTTTTCCAAAACCCAAATTTCCCAAAGACTGGAATTTGGGAAATAATTTCCAATTACCATAATCAACCTCAAGTTCTGTTTTGTATTTCCTCTTTTTTATTTTTTAGATTTTTTTATTTTTAACAAATATTATTCGAGTAATGATTTTATAAGATCCTATCACAAGTATGAAAATCCTACCGATCACCGCAGGATTTGGATTCAATTTATAAGGTAAAATTTGAATCTTTTTCTTTTTACTTTTTTTTTTTTCCTCTCTCCACTCATCTCCTTCTTTGTTTTTGACAAATGCCCCCTCACCATCAACCGAGACTCCCACCCTTTCTCTCTCTCTCTCTCTCAAAAGGATACCCTCTCTGTTTATCTCTTATTAGAAGCCCTCTCTCTTAGAAAAATATAAAGCATATGTGGGAGAGAGAATAGGGAGGTGGTCGGGAAAGTGAGAACACGAAGGATGGGGTTTTGGAGAAGTATAGTGATGGAGGAAAGAGAAAATCGTAATTAAAATTGTTACAGGGTTTAGAAAGCTGTGTATGGAAAAAATAAATATGAACAAATAAATAAATTTTAAACATTAAAATAGTATTTTTATAATAAAATATTTAGACTGTTAGTTTCAACCGTTTTAGATGGACTGCGTATTTGCATCTATCTTTAAAATGGATGCTTTGTACATCAGCAAACACGAATATAGAAATGCGTTCCCCGAATCATAAATGAATTTTTCTATATTTATTGCACACAATAAACTATAAATGTAATCAGGTCAAATTGTTAGCGGGCCCTAAAATCGTAAGAATTCGTTTAATATTAAATAAATAAATAAATAAAACTTCAAAAATAATTTGTAGGTATTGGAGACTTGAGATTTGTGTTGCATTTCCTTGAGCCAGCTATGAAATAATTATTGTTTAAATAAATAAATGTTAATGAATAGATATACAAGATTTTTGCTAAATAAATAGTTGAAAAGGGCTTTTTATATAACCCCACCCACATATATGGTATATGTGATCCCTCGTCTCGGTCATTAGATCTGAGTAGATGGCTGAGATGGCTTGAGTCATAATGTCACAAGCTAGCATTTAATCGTCAGATCTTGATCACTACAAATAATTTTAAAGCAAAGTTTGGGATATACATAGATCTAACAAGGGTGCACATAATAAAAATATTAAAAAAAAAAAATTGTGACGAAAAATTATCAGAATACCCCAGAAAATTACAAGGGCATTTTGGTTATATATTTTCACATGAAAATTTTTTTTCCAAGTTGCCCTAATTTTCTGATGGGAAACTAAAATTTCATAAAAAAAAATGTTTTGTGGAAAGAAAATAAAAAATAAAACAGTATTTGATGTGACATTGTTGTATGAACACCTGTAGCCGTTCAAAGTGGGGTCGCATATAACTTATATGTTATTGGGGTCACATAGAAACATTTCCCATCCAATAAGTAATTACTTCCTTAAAAAAAAAAGCCTTAAACAAGCTAGGGCCCTTCCAAAAAGGAAGTAAAAATAAAAAAAAAGTAAGGTCAATCAAAGTAATTTGATAGAGCCAAATGTCGTAATAGGGTTCATATAGACCCTAATCCTAGGGCTTATTATTCTTTCACAACAATTACTTCCATCATATTTTTTCACAACAATTGGCAGTCGAGGCACTGGAGAGAAAGTGAAGGGTAGAAGTCTAATAAATAATGTCACTCTATCAGCCCCTTAACCATTGGGCAAGTGGAGTTGAGGTCCAAGGGTTCCAAAGTTGTTGTCACGTTAAAACCCGACTCTAATCACACCAATAAAAAATAATAATAATAACAACAAAAATAATAAAGAAGTTTGTCAGAGGTTCCGACTTTAATTTCAATCGAAATTAGAAAATCTGTCACCCCCATGACAAGCCAAGTTTATTCCAATCTGGTGTCTCGAGCATGGATCAAATTTCAATTGTTTGCAAGAATTTTGCGGGAAAATAGGGGTCGAAAGAGATAGCTTGAGTGGAGATTCTTTTATAAAAAGGGGTGCTGTTTGCATACGGACGAGCATTCGTAGGTGTAGAGGTAACGTTCACTTTCAAATTTTGTCATGGTATGTAGTTTAGATGTAAAATATTCTTAGGATTATCTCAAAATCAATTTTTATATCTAATTATAAAATTTTATATTTAAAAAATGGTTAAAATCAAGTAGATCTATAAACATATGAAAATCTTGAAGATGAACGGTGTAGATAAAATGTTGTAAAATATATTATTTCTGAGACTTAAAATCTTTTTATTTTTCATAGACATACATCTCGACATCGAGATGATCAATCAAAAGGTTTTTCAACATTAAAACTACCTTTTCTGATGGATTTTTGAAGTGCACCCGTAGCTTTACATTATAAAGTTGCATCCTCATATAAACTTTTTCCTCATAAAATACATCTCCTATAATATAAATGGAGAAGACTCAATTGTTTGAAGTACGGACAGAACCAGAAGTGCCCCTTGTTTCAAAGAGAGGGGGACGGGTTATTCACATTTCGGTAAGAAGCAAATTGAAAACTAAACAATGGTAATTCTAAAGATCCCCCAGGGGGGAAATGAATATGTTTCTTACGTTACCCGTAATATGTGGAAGTGTCGACGTAATTTCATAGAATCATTCGGTTCGAGTGCTACAATATCCTATATCAATAGGAAAGGCCCTACCTTTGAGTGCAGTTTAAACCATTGATTTACGTAATTGGAAGTAACCAATTAGGTTTACGACGAAACCTAAAAATCAATCACTGATCCAATTTGAGTACCTCTACGAGATTGACCTAAACAGAAAACTGAAGAATAACGGCAGCAGGTGATTCCCTGAAAAGAGATGTGGAAACCATGTTAAATATAGGGCTAGCAATGGGTAGGTTGGATCCAACCTGGCCCTAAAAACTAGCGTTTGGGCCACAAAATGTGGTTTGAGGGTTATGCCAAGGTGGAACTAGGGCGTGGGCTAGGTCATCGAGTTTCTTATTTTTTTTACTTAAGCATACTTGTATTGTATTTGTTTCCGAGCCAACTCAGCCTAACCCTAACAGGGCCTAGGCTTTTTTGAACCTGGCCAAGCTCATGCCGGCCCTGGAGGACTAGGAACCCCTAATGTTGGCTGTGAAAAAGTAAAATGACATTGAACTCCTGGCCCGAAAAAACCTAACAATTTTGTTGTAAACAACTAGTTCTCAAAGTTTCAATTTCCATGTACAAAATACCGCTAGGTCTTGGACGGAAAAACCATTTATATTATGGGAGATGTATTTTATAAGGAAAAAGTTTATATAAGGATGCAACCTTATAATGTAAAACTACGGATGCACCTCAAAAATCCATTAGAAAAGGTAGTATTCATGCTGAAAAACCCTTTGATTGATCATCTCGACATCGAGATGTATGACCATGAAAAATAAAAAGATTTTAAATTTCAGAAATAATACACTTTACAACATATTATCTACACCGTCCATTTTCAAGATTTTCTTATTTATAAATCTACTTGATTTTAACCATTTTTTAAATTTAAAATTTTATAATTAGATATAAAAATAGATTTTGAGATAAGCTTAAGAACATTTTACATCAAAATTATATACCATGATAAAATTTGAAGGTACACCTTACCTCTATAGCTACATGATAAAATTTGAAGGTGCACCTTACCTCTATAGCTACGGATGCATCTCTTTGTGAGAGAGAGAACCTGGTTTTTTCTTTTTTTGGTTAAAGGAAAAGGCCCTACCCGTTCTTCAGTAAATAATAATAAAAAGACAAAACCTGATCTGCTATATTAAAAAATGCATATTAGCATATCCAGCTAACATCTTGCTCCAAAACTAAAATCAATGGCCAACCATTCAGTTAGGAGGTGAACAGTTCACGTGTGTCATAACTCAAAACTCAACCACCGTGTGCTTTCACCAAGTTTTTGGTGTTACAGCTATTTCAAAATACTTTCTTGTGAATATCACAATCATCCTCAACTACAATACAATAACTTAAAAATTAAAGAAAAACCCAACCTATTAAAAAGTTCAATTTGCAGTTCTATGCTTGGGATTTCACAGTAGCAAAAACAGATGGAGGCAAGAAACCAGACCCTCCAACACCTACAAGCTTCTACTGCAACAACCTCAACACTATTCATGGTGGATTTGGTGTTGAGGGGAATCGCATTTTCCACCACTTTAGCGGCAGCAGTAGTCATGGGCAGGGACAAGGAAACCGAAGGCCTATTCATCGCCAAATTTAGCTTTTCTCCAGCTTTCAGGTAAGTCATCATCTATAGAGTTCCACCAAATTTGCAGATGTTAAAACTTTGTAGCCCATAGTTATACATATGTAATAAGATAGTTTCCTCGTTTTGACCATTGTTATGGACCACAACAAGGAAACCAATGTCCTAATCATCAGTACATTTAGCTTTCTGCCCACCTCCAGATAAGTCTACTTTCATGGGCCTATGCCAAATTTGGCAGCGGCTCGATTTTCTCAGCCCATATTTTTATGCTATGACATAAACAGGTTTCTTCATGTTTCTCCAGCTTCTTTGTGGCCGTTAACGGTGCTGGTTGCTTCTACTCGATGCTATCACTGGTCATCCTCAGTTTTCAAGCTTCACAGGCCTCATCACTGAGAATGAGGCTGGTGTTCATATCTCTAGATGTGGTAAGACACCGAATGACTCGGATGGGTTCAGCTGGTTTTTGACTTGTTACACAGAAATTAGAGACTCTCTCTCTCTCTCTCTCTCTCTCTTCCAACTTACCCACCCTGTTGAACAACACCATGTCTGATAGGAAAGCTTATAAAGGAATAGCATCAAATCCATATTATTTTGAAAGAGAATGGAACTAAGCAATTAATCTTCAGCAAAAAGGAAATGCATATTATTCAGATTATCTCATTAAAATTAGACACTAAAGAAAGAAAGGCAATAGAAAATAATATGAAAAGAAACGAGGGTACGTCAAATATTCAGCATGGATTTCTCCTTTGTGCAGGTTCTGATGGGTTCACTTATAGGAGGGGCATCTGCTGCAACTGCAATAGCATATGTGGGACGCAAAGGCAACAAGCATGCCAATTGGCTCCCCATATGCAAACTTTTCTCAAGGTTTTGTGACCATGTTGCTGGGGCGCTGCTGGTCTCATATGTTGGGGCACTGTGTTTCCTTCTACTTGTTCTCACATCAGCTGTTACACTCAATATTTTTTTGATGCAAGCATCAGAAGGGAAGTCCTAACCTAATATCAGCACTCATGGACAATGTGCATCTTCTTGTCTCTCTCCAAAAAAGTGGGAGAGAATTTGAAGAAATGATGAAAAAAGATTATAAATTTATGGTTATTTCTACAATTCCACAGACCTTGGTGACCGAGGAGATACATAGACAGATGAGTCATAATTGTCTGTGTGTGTGTCAGAGAGAGAGAGAGAGAGCGCATCCTTTTTCATTGCAGAGAAAACAACAAAAATACTAATACGATAGATAATACAATTGAAATAAAACGAGAGAGAGAGAGAGTCGAGTCAAGTCTTCTAGTCATGTGAAAGGGGAAGGACTAAGAGTTCACACTAATGACAAAGTCATAGTTTGATCAAAGCATGAGATGTTTCCGATCCTAGAAAGCAATTTATTAGAAGAGCACAATGACTGAGGCCTTGGCCTAGGCGGTCAGGGTGGCGGAGCCACAACATGACGTCAAGGGTTTTATTCTTACCGGTTAACATGTCAAAGAAAGAAACACGAGGAAGGGGGGAGAGCACACTTTTGGGGACATAGTAGCTACCTAGAAAAGCAGGAATATAGTAATTTAGCACCTTCTAACACATCAAGTTCAACTCAAGAATGCAATGAACTGTTACACTTTTTTTTGCGATGTACTCCATGACCCATTCCTTTTCTTCCTCACCTTTGATTTGAGGCAATTGCTTACCTTCTTGTTTGATCAGGATACAGATAAGATAGAAAACGCCATCATTACAATATGAATATTATTTAAACTTAAGGACACAAGAGTAACTGTTGGAGTACATTGTTAAGAAGCTTAGCTATTTTTGGTGCAATAAAAGATATTTAGAGGTAACACACTCTCTCACACACACATAGCAATGCCAATCAAAAGAAATTTGGAACTAAATCAAGGATAGAAGATATTAACCCTCTTCATTGATGTGAAAGTTAAAGAAACAATGGTACAATAAAATGAAGGAAATACATTTATCTGAAGAAAAAGATGAAGTACATTTATCCTGAAAAACGAAGCAAGTACAATGCTAAGCTTACTCCTTGACTACTTTAACGAGCAAGCCAGCAGGAGTATGAACTGTTTTCAGATAACCCGATCCAATCAAATCTCGGAGATGGAACCGAATGTCAAGCGGTGAGAGTCTTAGACGTTTCTTCTCCAAGAGGGCCAATAACATCTCTTTGTACTTCCGACGATTTAAGAGAGAAATGAGCTCCTTCCTTCCCTGAATTCCAGATAAACTTTCAATATTCACATCAGTCAATTCTTCAAAATACAAATTTTAACTTGCAGTGAAACTACAATAAAGCGCCTAATCCTTGCTTCCAGTGATTCACTGAGAGGAAATTCAGGAGATGTAGACCTAAAGAAAACAAATATGAATTGAATAAATAAAAAAAGTGACTCACTAAGAAGAAATTCAGGAGATGTAGCCCTAAAGAAAACAAATATGAATTGAATAACTCAAAAAAAAGGATAGGTAACCGTCTATACTAACATAGAAGGCACTCATTGATCTAGTTCCAAGGATCCCAATTCTAATGGATAGAGCAAGAAATAGCTATTTCTGACGTATGCATGTTTGCATCAATATTTTGCATTCATTTTTTTTATTCAGTTTATTGACAAATAGGAACCCATGTACACACACAAGCAAGAGTGTAACTGAAAAACGTAAAGAAAAACAATTTATCATGCCCCCTTTAGTTACCTGAGAAAGGCCCTTGAGTATGAATCCAATATTTGGAATAGCAAACCAATACGAGTTAGAATCAAGTAGCTGACGAGTCTATAAAGGCAGCAGCACACAGACATTATAAACAACCTTTCACATCTTTAAAGGCAAGCCTTTTAATAAGAATGGAAAAACACTTCAACATAACAAATCAGTAAAATCGTTTGAAGATGCTGCATCCACTCACAAAGTAATTGAAAAATAGTTATACATGTTTCTAGAAAAATACCAAGTTTTCTAATAGTTTAGTAATACTAGTAGATCTACATGCATTGCAGGCTGTAGATCAATTTAAGTACATATCAAAGAAATACTTCTAATTTTAAATAAAGATGACATGTTTCTTTAGAGAGTTAAAAAATGACATTATTAGAGTGGAATATGCAAAACATGCTAAAAAAGGTAAGGCTCAATCCATTTAGGCATTATTTTCATATACAAATATTATGAGCATGCAATTTCTAATACATAATTAAACAAAATTTTCATTGTTGTATGATGACAGTCATGTAATAATTATATTATTATATAACTTATAGTAAACTAATACAATCTTTATTATATAATTATAATTATCGTTTACTATAATATTACAATTTTTGACAGTATATTTTTGGATTTCATATATCATGAAATATATGTCATTATTATATCAGACGATATAATAATTTTATAACAATTATAAAAATATCATTTATTTTTTTTTAGAGAAATAAAAAAATATCATTATTATATTTACTCTAATTATAATAATATAATTCATATTATAACTATAATTATATAACTAGAATATTGATACAAATGTAATTATTTTATGAATAATATTTAATAATTTAGTTGATATGCAAGTGTGTGCGCACACCCGTATGTCTGTTTCATTACAAATTGAATATCTAAACTACATTATTAATCCAAAGATGCGGTGGACACGTGTCGCGAAAATAAAACAGGACCCTATACATAGAGATAAAGTAGGGTAGATGTCCTAGAAATAAAAAAATTTAAAATAAAATAATTACTCTCTAGAAACAATGCATGTTAATTAATTTATTTAAAATTACTTTAAACGTTTATATTTCCTAAATTAATAGGAAAGAAAATTTAGCAAATCCCTATTGTGATAGATATGATGATGGAAATCATGAGCTTTAAAATACTATTATATATGCTCCCTTAATGGATTTGCTAAATCCTCTAAATCATTGAATTCTTTTTCTAAATCATAGTGGAAATTTCCTAATTCGCTAAATAGAGTAGTCTCCCCATGCTAATTCCCCTGATACTATTTATAAGGGAGAGATATACGCCCAGGGGACATAGAAAGAGGAAAGGGCACGTCGAGAGGAAAAAGAGAGCGAGAAGGAGACATATACGCCAAGGGGGTATAAAGAGAGGGACAGAGTACGCCGAGAGGAGAGAGAGAGAAAAGAGAGAGATGGAGAGAAAATAAAGAAAGAAAAGAGAAAGAAAAAAAGAAAAGAGAGAGAGATGGAGAGGAAATCAAAGAAAGAAAAGAGAAAGAAAAAAAGAAAAGAGAGAGAGATGGAGAGAAAATCAAAGAAAGAAAAGAGAAAGAAAGAAAGAATGGGCCAAAGGTTGCATCTCCTTGAGATGGAGAGATGTCAAAAAAATAAATTTTATTAATATTGATGCAGTAATTCATATATTACCATTTTCAAACAAGAAAAACTAATTTTCAAGTAGTAAGTAAAGATATTTGTGAAGCCTGAAGAAGAAAAAAGTTGAAAAAGTTCACCGTGGAGATTTAATGTGGAGAGGTATATAGGAAACAATATTATAGGGGATATTGATTTTTTCACGAGATGAATTCAAATATACTTACCATCAGTCTCCTCCAATTTTCCAAGTTAAAATTAAAATCCTCCAATGTTCCAAGTTAAAGTTAAAATTCATAGCAAGCTTTGAATCCTTTAACTCTCTTCCAATTTTTTGACTTGAATGCGAAAATATTACAATTAACTCTCATCCAAGTTCAAATGGATATTGAACTCTACAGTTTTTTATTTTTTGAGGATGGTCTTGAACATTAAAGTTTGAAAATTGAAGTTAAAATGGTACTGGGGAATAAAGTATTTATACTTATTCACCTTCAAAACATTGGGCCTAATCACACATAAAGTAGGTAATAGAAAGGGCATCTTCTACAACATAAAATGCCAAATGCATTTTATTTTTTAATATTTATTTCAAAATATACAAATTTTGTGACCATACTTTTAAAAACTCAAATTCTTTAAAACTACAGGTGATATTAAATGTAGTTATATATTAAACTTTATAATTAAAAAAGGATTAATAAACCAATTTAATCTGAGGATGTCGTTAGTAGTTATAACGTATTACTAATAAAGTAATAACAAAGTAATTACAATTTTTTCATGAATATCATAATTATAAATATTCCAATATATATATAAACATTTATATTTATTTATTTATTTATTTATTTATTTATTTTTATTACAATCTTATTAATATTAATATAATAATTCATCTATTATGACAATAATAAGCATATTTTCATTAATTATAATTATGAAAATTACATACAATTATTAAAATTAGAATTAAATATTATTAATATATTCAAATAATAAAAATAAAAATATATAAATTTATTATAATTAATTTAAAATTAAGATAATAATTTAAATTATCAGATCTGGGTGGGAGAAGTGGAGACGTGCAATTGGAATTTTATGTGTTCGCCGCAAACCAACAAAGCAGAAGGGCAAGTTCTATGGGACAACTGTGAGACCAGTTTTGCTCTATGGGGCAGAATGTTGGGCAGACAAAAAACAATACAACCACAGAATGAGTATAGCGGAGATGAGGATATTGAGATGCATGATTGGCAAGACAAGAAGGGATAGAATTCAAAATGAATCCATTGGAGAAAATTTAGGTGTGGCACCAATAGGCGGTAAGATGTGAGAGAGTAGACTCAGGTGGGCTGACCATGTGTGGCGCCGACCCAGTACAGCACCTGTTAGGAAGTGCGAGTTAGTTCAAGTGGAATGATTGAATAGGGCAAGAGGTAGGCCCAAAAGGACGTGGTTGGAAGTAGTCCGAAAAAATATGAGGACTTATGGCCTCATTGAGAATGGGCTGGGACCTTGGAGGTAGTACCAACGAGCCCTATGATGGGGATGGGGCCTTGGTGGTAGTACCAACGAGCCCTATGATGGGGCTGGGGCCTTGACGGTAGTACCAATGAGCCCTATGATGAAGTCTCTGACTCCATTCTCATCAAAGGGTAGGGGCCCCAAAAAATCCTCACTGACTTACCTTACCCAAAAAAGAAAAAAGAAAAAATAATGGAGGACCAAGATTCATGTAGCCGACCGCAATTAATTCGGAAAAGGTTATGATGACGATGATAATAATTTAAATTGTTATTGTTAATTGCTTTATAGTAATATTAGAATCAACATTAATAATGTGATCGTAATATTACAATGAATATTAGAATAATTATGTAAATATAATTAGAGTCATAGATAAATATTATGAATATGTTTTACCTGTAATGTACTTTTCCATTGGAAAATCATGTATTTATTTAGGTGATCGCTTAACGCATATGAATATATTATTCCATCGTATATTTACGAAATTATTTACATAAATGCTTGACACATATCTACATACTATAGATTACGTATTTATGTAATTATTTATGTGATCGCTTATTTCATTTCTACGTTCAACGCATATGATCCCACTAGTATTAAGGGCAGACTCTTAGAGAGAAATGACAGAGTATTAAAGGCAGACTCTTAGAGAGCAATAACAGAGAAGAAAGAAAAGTAATATTAGGAGTGTATATGCAATATAGAGGACCCACTGCTAGGTTCTCAGAAAGACGAAACCTCATAGAAAAGGGAAATACAAATGACAGTGCATAAGTAAAATGTAAGGAGAGCTGCAAACTGAGTTTGATATTGAGAGGGATCTTGGGTTGCAGCCCTACTTGTCAAACAGTTGAAACTCATCCCTGACTACACGAGCAGTGGAAGGGTGCTTCTGGGCAAAGGGCTTCTGATGTGCAGAGCAAAGGAGCGTTGTTGGGAGAGCTGTGGGGTTACTTCTGGCTAGAGGGCAATCAGCTACCGAGAGAGGTGAACATGTCATGAGGAACTTTGGTCTTCAACAGCATCATTTCAACGTTTTGATGTGATGCAAGAAGTAGGAGAAATGGGATAATTGAGAGAAACTAGGGGAAAACTAGAGATTGTACAGGAAGAAAAAGACGAGGGGGAGGGGAGGGTAGAAGGGAGAAATAGGGTTAGAAATAACAAACCAAAGGAACATGGGCTCAGTCGAAAAAAATAGGTTCGCTAAGAAGATTTGGAGATGGGTATGAGAGGGAGAAGAAAGATAAGAAAGAAAGAAACCGCCCTTTTTTCTTTTTCTTTTTTTTCCTTTTTTCGCTCTTTTTTTTTTCCTCTTTTTGTTTTTCCCAGGGAAATAAAAGATTGTACGAGGGACAAAGTTGGGACAAAGAGAGTCAGGGGGGAGCCAGGGGAGGGAGAAGATGTTGACATTGCTCACTCGACAAGGCTTTTCCTACCAGTAATATTTATTTTAATTATCTTGTGTTTCATTTTACCCTAAGATCTAGTCATTTACTGAGAACAGGAGTAGGTTTCATCTAGTCACATTTTAATTTATCACCATTTAGGAACAGATAGAAAACAATTGGTATATGAAATACTCCACTCTTTAAAATCACTTCATATGGCATATGAAAAATTCTATTAATATTATAATATAATCTTTAAAATCACTTCAAATGGCATATGAAATATCATACTAATTAATAATATAATACTAATATTATGATATAATAATATTATATAATTAATAATAACAAATTAACAATACTACTACATAATTATAAGTATTTATATGTAATATTTGCTTAAATAAATCTATTTAATATTTACTTAAATAAATATTTAAGTATAAACTATTCATTATAAACTACAATATCATGAGCAGAATACATTTCACTGGTCAGATGTTACTCATAATTCAATATTTTTATTTTAGAATTTGTTTTAACTTTCATATATGGTAAACTTGTTGCCTAAAATCTCTCAAAGTATATAGATCTTCTCTCATATCATAAAATATCTCTCTATCAAAAAAAATAGGATTGGTTCTTTTATTTTTTATTTTTGCAAAAATAGAAAGATATCCTACATCATGCCCTAAAGCAACTTCTCTATTTCAAGGTCACATGCCCTAAATCCTCTCAAGAGATAGGGCCCCCCTTTATTTTTGCAACATGAACTGTAACTTAATAATCTAGTAGAGATATCTATGTAAAACTAGCATTTTGATTGCTTGATCATGATGGAATAATACTCAAATGATGGCCACTTCTCATATAAAGCAATGTATATCAAAATAATAAAGGGAGAAAATGATTTACTCGAAAGCAATGAAACAAACCAAAAAAGCCTACGATGTTTTGGAGGGGATGACATTAGCAATGATATGATTATACGAGTATTTGAAAATGATATTATGAAGGTTTCAAGTGAATACTACAGTGCATAAACCTTTTAAGTCATGAACCAAAAAACACCCAACAAAAGCATGAAATACAGGAATTTCCTTACAAGTAGACCAGCATTAATCAATAGAGAGATATGGTCATCCTTCACATTGCCTCCATGTGATAAGAGCAAACACTGCAACACCACAAATCCCAAACCTTGTTAGAGACATGATAACAGAAATGCATGTATAACACCCTCCAAAAGATGAAACTTCCATAATTAATACATAGACAGTACTATGTTCAGCTAACCAAACAAATCAAAGAGAATCACTATCATAAAAAAGGTATTTAAGATGGATTAAAATAAAAAGGATCACCAAAACAAACGTATCAAAGAAAATAAAAAGCATCCGCTAACCAAATGAATCATAGAAAATTAAAAAGATCAGCTCACCAAAACATTATTAATCAGAAAGGCAAACAATATTCATACAATACTCTGTTGCTTGAACACATGTAAGGCTACGGTGTCACAGAACACACCCTGAAAGTCATTCTCTTTTTTCTTTTCTTTTTGATAATGTCATTCTCGTTTTTCTTCTCCGATAACACCGGAAACACATTCCTACAATGATCATGTTGCCACCTGTAGCCCCAAAAATCCTTGGATTCACTATCTATTTGGAAAACTGTGAAATGCATTTGTTTTCCAATCTTTTATCGTTCATTAAATTTTGCAATTCCAAGCATGCAGGCAGATACCCAGAGTTGAACTAATGTACCAATTTGGTGGCATTCTAAAAGGTTTGGAGCATACAACACAACATATGGCATAGAGATAAGTCCACAAAAAATGAGGGATCACCACTGTGTAAGCTTTCTTGTGTAGTTCAAGAAATGCCCTAAATAAAATAGAATGCAGTTTGAAAAGCTTGTGACAAATAGGATTCTAGAAAATAAATTCGATTATTATATAAGATCATCTCTAATTATCAAATTTAAAGCTTCAAAAATAGTGCAGGTCGAGCAGATCTATGAAAACTGAAAATATTGAAAAACGACGATCCAAAAATGCATTCCAATATGCATTATTTCCAAAACTTGAAATCCATTTTTTTCTCATGTCCATGCATCTAGAGGTCGAGATGATCAATTTGATGATATTTGGGTATCAAAACAACCTCTTCTAGTGAAATTTTTGAGGTGCGCCCTAATTTGATTGTTTAGAGCCTCTCACTTATATAAACTTTTTCCATTATATATATATATATAGCCACTAGCTAATAGCTATAGGTTTAGCTAGTGGCCCAGATTAAATCTGGGCCGATCTGACTGTCACGACCTCATTTCGTATTTGAATTTTAATATTTTTTGTACAAATCCAAATCACATGAAATTTTGGTGTCAATTCTTCTCATCAAGGCGCACTTAATAAAAATATTAAAAATATAATTCACAAAAAATAAATTGACCAAAATACTCCAAAAAAGTTTTCATGGTATTTTGGTCAATTTATGCTTTACGAATTATTTTTTTATATTTTTATTAGGATCTCCTATTTTAAAAAAATAGACACTAAACTTTAATCTTTTTTTCTATAAATCCAAATCACTTGAAATTTGGAACGTCCACTCTTCTCATCAAAACGCATCTAATAAAATATTAAAAAATATTCACAAAAAATAAACTGACCAAAATATTCCTTTTAAGGGTATTTTAGTCAATTCACTTTATGCAAATTGTTTTTTAATATTTTTATTAGGTTCGTCTATTTTTCAAAGGTAGACACTCAAAATTTCATGTGAATTGGATTTATAAAAATAAAATAAAATTCAAATACAAAATGCAATTGTGACTATTGGATCGGCCTAGATTCAATATGGGTCGTTGGGCATTTATTGTAACTGTCAACTAGCGAGCTGACCTCAGACGCTCCTTATATTTCAAGAAATAATTTCCACAAATTAAAGTACATATACAAAAAAAAATCGACAATCGAGCTAATAGTCAACAAACAAAAATAAAGACCCATGTGAACTGACGCCTAAATCCATGTGTTTTAAATAGATAGAAACCAGATCTGGAACTACCCAAAAAAAATTAGAACTAGAGTTTTATAGAAAAAAATTCACATGACAAACAAAATGAAATTTATGAAACATAAAGACTGTAAGTCAATTACTAGATCGACCCACAAAGCCTACCAAATTGAAATCCCACATATTTTTGGGGCTAGGCTTTAGGATCCACTTGATCTAAGATTCCTACACTACTGCGAATTCCAAATCTGAATTTCAATTTCTCTTGGATCCAAAAAGTTGGTAAGTTTTTGCACAAATTTGTTTAACCAGATGATGGAGGTTAAAAACAACCCTATGGATGTTTTTTGGGAGCTTCATACTCTCTATTGCAGAAAAAATTCAAATTTTCCTTCTTTTTTCCGTCAAAATGCAGCTAAAAAAAAATCAGACATGCCAAGTCCTGGCCAACTAGAGGCCTGAACTTGAGGACATGGAGGACATGGATGAGTCTGACAAGGAATTGTGCAGGGCCCCAGCCGTTCTGTCCAGTACCAACCCCGGTTCAGGACGCTGCGCCAGGTCAAAATAACTTGGGTCAGTATGAGGCCAAGCAGTTTCCATAAACTGCTCCATTTAAATCAGATATATAAATATTTGAGATATTTCAACATAAATCCAAAATCTAATTGGCCTTGTAGGAACAACAGTATAACTACCTAACAGCAAAGAATCATGCACTCAAAACTCCTTGCAAGCATCCCAAGGATGGCAAGCCAATAGAACAATCTAACAAGTTGTTGACTACGGAACCACTAAAGTCTGAGCATTAAGTCAGCATTAAGAAGCCAAGTAAAATATTCCATCTTTCCAAACACGCCAATATTCAGAATAACACTGAAAAAGAAATAGATTTTCTGTTAAAGAGTATGGTGTGATTCATCAGGTTCAGTGGGAACCACAAGCACACTGCTAAAATTTTAACTCAGACTGAAGAAAAAGACCATAAGTGTCACTATTCCAATGCAAACATACAATAAATGGTTCCATCACAAACTGCTCAAACACGCACCAGCTCTTCATGCTCAATACTTGCATCCAGCTTGGATGGCAAAACATGTGATCTGAACCATTCAAAAACATCAATGTCATCTTGGCCTTTAGCCTTGATCCTTTTCATTGCACTTTCCACCTAGACAAACATAATTGCAAAAGCCATCCGGCCATCAGAATATAAATTTTACATAACAGCAGAATGCAGCACTCAAATATACTGCTCCAAAACGTTTTTGCCAGTGTACTACTAGATATGATATGGTTTGATTTAGTAAAATAAATTCCTTAGATTACAAAGGAAAAATAAATAAATAAAAAAGGCGAGCAAACAACCATCACAAACACCAAATAAACTTGATTCTACAGGTGGCTAAAGCATCCAAGAATGGGAAAGAATGGAAAAGGGTTACGTATAATCACAATACAAGCTATGTTACTCCTCAACAAAGGTTCTTGCCAAGGAAGTATGTACAAAAAAAACCTGATTTAAATAATCCTCGATGAACATGATCGCATGATCATCCTGTCCGGTATTTAGCTTAAATAAGCGGATAACATTATCTTTTCTCAGTGACTGCAAAAGAGGAATAAAACCCAGAAAAAGCATGTCAGTTACATGGAGCAGCACATTTCAAAATGAACTTCAGTAGATAATGATATGGTTGACTGGCGATGTACATCCATTGTTTCTCATTATCAATTAAATGTCAACCTAACGTTCTGGTTGTTACTGCTGCGACCCATAGAAAGCAACCATTGAACATAAAAAATACCAATGATGCAAGACAGACTTTAATACTTAACTGTCCAAAGATTGTAACGAACAACTAAAACTCAAACTAAATAATAAAAAATCCAAGGTTAACTTCACAACTATTATTAAGCGACAAAACATTTCAAACACACGCACCCCTTTGTTACAACTTTCAAGCATTTCCTTCAAGAAAAGCTTGAGAAGCTGACCAACAGGTCAATCTAATTCTAAGCCCAGCTAGAGAGAAAGAGAATGGGTATCACAATACCCATCGTGCTGACTAAAGATCCAAAAATAAAGTGTGCATCAAATCAACTCGTACCTTACAGTCAATCATAGATAAACTTGTGCATTCATTACTGAAGAATCCAGAGGAATGGATTTCATGATCTACATTCTAAAGTGATTTTCTTGCACAGCTGCTATGCTAAAGGAAAATTTTGCAAAAGGACCTATTCATCAGAATAAACTGAATGACCAGTGATACTGAAAGTTATTTTAATCTAAGGGTAATATAGGATTGCATAGAATACTTTCTTGCTTCCCAGAAAATCCAATATGCACTCTGAAAGAATCTGGCATTGACCTACTGCTACCTTGCAAAGAAGAAAGCTCGATAAATTCATGAGCATTTTCTCCAGAAGTCCTAAGAACTAGAGAATGAGCTAAGAAGCAGGTTCTCTTGAGAGCATGTGTGCAAAAGGATGAACAAGAAAGACATGCAGGTTCTTGAAGAAAACCAAATTAAGAAGTTTACAATCTGCTACTAAAATACACAAATGAAGGAAGAAAGGACCAAGAAGACCATGAAGTTCTGAACTCATTCAGATACAAATTACACCATAATACTTACATGACCTTCTTGGGAAGAGGGAAAAAGAAAAGAAAAATGAAATTTTGAAGTTTTCGTAGTTCAAAAAGTGAAGTGTCAAATTTTATAAGCACAGTGGAATTAAAGAAATCAGACCTCCAATTCTCTATCGACCTGTGTCCTGTCATTAACACTGCTGTAAACTTGTGAACGAAGAACAAAAGGTTGTACAGAAACCTGGAAGAAGTATAAGGAATTAAGAAAAATTGAATTATCATAATTAGGAAAAGTTTTGCATCACAGCAAACACTGCCAAAACTATGTCATGTTCTTACAGAAAATGTATGTAAGAAAAAAGGACGGACTTATTTAAACTATTTCAAAAAATAATAATAATACGTGGAATATTTTCCCCATTGAAGAAATGAAAAGCCAGAAAGTATTGCAATAAAAGAATACAAACCTTTTCCATTTTTGGAAATTGGGCATGCATTATTCTGAGAGCTATTAATGTATCCGAAAATGTAAGCTGGTTCTCTATATGTACAGAGAAAATATTATTAGTTTGTGAACAAGTCAAGCATCAAATATTTCATAACTAAAGATGACATCCAGTGAGGTTACCCAAACCAGTTAATAATCAAAATGCTAGAAGAATAAAAATAAACATAAGAAAAGTATATAACTAGATGGACAACATGGAAAATAAATTTAAATGTGCCAATCAAAATTTGAAAAAAGGAAAAAGTAAATATATTAACAAGGGAAGCTCATATCAATATATACTCTTCCCATTTTAAACATATGTGCTATCTCGAGTGGTTTCATGTATAGTTCACAGCATTCTCAAATTCTCAATTTAACATGCATGTTATCTTCTTCTTCTTTTTTACCAGTGTTACTTAATTTTATTGAAATGAAAAACTACATAATATGAATTACAACATCAGAGACAAGTAGCAAACGCAAAGATAAACCACTTTTAGCAAGAGATTTAACATTCATGTTATTTCTAGTGGTTTCATCAAGCCATCAAAGTCATTATAAATTACTAAATTCCAATCAACAGAAATCCCTTGATGGTTATCAAAAATCCCTTGAAAAATTAGAACACTAGACGAAGACACAGATTAACCCAAACAAAAAAAAGGAAAAATTGCAAAATGCAGGCTTAAAAAGAACACTTGTATGAAATGAAACACATGAATGCAGATAAGTGTCAAATTGGTAAAGACCATGGCCTGAAAAAGACATAAATAGCAGGAACTAACTCCAGAAAAAAAAGAAAAAAAAAATCACAAACAAATAGAGTACCCGGCATCAAACTTCAAAAACAATAATGGACAATTAATAAAATATTATAATAAACAGGATATGGAGAACATAAAAAGTACGGGAAAACCAAGAAATGGAACAACAAATCACCTAATGGCAAGCCCACGTCTGGCTCTTCTTCATGATCCTCCCGAACCCTTTTCCTGCCAGTAGTTGCAGAATCCTCCATAATTTCATGAAATGGAAACCATTAAATTTATCAATATCCCTGAAATAAGGCTTGTATTTCAAAATTACTGGACAACGTAATGGCTTTCAGAGCAATTGAAACAATAATTCAGATCAATCTGAGAAACACCAGCTGAATGACATCCTCCTAAAAGATTTTCATGGTTGTTGAACTCTAAAAAGCCTCAATTTCACTATATATGAAGCAAAACTCTGAATTCTCAGATCGCTGTCACTTTCTCAAAGCTGTAACCTAAAATGCGATGAAACCCCGGAATTTTCACATCACTACACGGCCATTAAATTGCTAATACACAAACTTCTCTCGATTAAAAATGAGACCCTTGAATTTTTGCATGATACGGTGAGGTTTGCACTAGAGTAAACCCTAGTTTCTCTCTTCTTGAAACGAGATAGAGAGAACGATATTACTGAATGTAATTGAATAAGAATGAGCTCGCCATCAGCGATCGGCGGGAAATTAAGATATCCTGACGTACTCTCGCGGGAGCACACTGTACACTTCTGGCATGGCACGATGTGATTTTCCCGCTAACGCTGCTTTGTGGCTGGGTCGAGGTTGGGTAGGTTCAAGTCGTGGGCCACGTCCGAAATTATTTGTCCTACTAGGGGTGTTAGTCGATAGGGTTTGGGTTAGGGTCCCATAAGATCTAATCAAACCCATACCCATTTGGGACCGAATCAAAATGGCCAGTAAAGTTATTTATTGGGTTACAATAAAAAGAGCATTAAAATGTATTATAAATATTTTATAATATATAAAAAACATCAGGTTGGGTCGACCTTGACCTGATCTAACTTCACAATGTCGAAAAAGGCTTAAATCTAAATCCAATTCAGGTCCATATGATCCAGACCCAAACTTAACTACTGACTCAATATTTAGGTTCAAACCCACACCCGTATCGAGTAGAATCGGCTTGTCGACCCAACTCGATTGCCACACCTAAGGTCCTACACGCAAATTGATGATGAGCTCCTATTTACGACAAGTAAATTAAATCACATATAAAAAGGGGAAAGATCGAGGAATTGATAGAATGCTGGGGAATAAAACAAAGAAATAGAGGCATAAAAACATATGGATTTTCGTCTTAACAGTAATATCATCACTTCCATGGAGTTATTAGTTACTTCGACTATAAGGATCGCAACAACATCTAATGTACACTAATTGATTAGTTGATTGTGAGTTTCAAAATTTATAAACGGATTTTGAAAACTACTAAAGCCCCAAATATTCTGCAAAATGTTACTATTCGAAGAGGACTGTAACTCAAATTTGCAGAGCAGAGCAACTGCACAGATTAGGGATTCAGTTTTCTATACTACTTATAGTAATAAAGGGACAATCACCCTAAGTTTCTTCTCCATGAAGTCTAGATTTTGAGCTGAAGAATACCATTTAAGAAGTGGAAGATGGGTTGAGGAACCAGGAAATGTGCTTCCCATCACCAATGAGCAGTATTTGAAGAAAGAGGTGAGCAGATGAAAACAATTTGATTAGAAACAAAGCATGATTTGTCAAAACTGGAAGTTTTTGTGCACAGTGAGGTGGTAATGTTTAAGCGACTGTAAAATTGAAGTTTAAAAGTTCTATAAACAAGAGGAATAGCATTGAAATCGAGAAGCTTTATCACCCAACTATACCATTTTGTGTGGCTCAATTGTAATATTCCATAGGAATGGAGTGAAAGTTTTCCAAATAAGGAGAGTTCACTGTAAAAATCAGGATGATAAGAAAACAAAAAAGGAAAAAGAAAAAAAGACTTCAATGAGAAAATTACATATCCCAAAACTTCGTGCTTGACTTTTCTTTTGTTAGTGAAAAGCATCCATTGGACTTCCGTTTAGCAGCCATATTGGACTTTTACCTCCTCCTGTTCCCTTGATTTTCCCAGTTTTTAGTTCCTTTGTAATCTGTATTCTGTGCGTCCCGAAATGTGCATTCCCGGTTGGAATTGGCGATTCGATTTGGTTGATCAGAGGGTCGAGTCAGACACCCATTCCTGTTTCTAACCTAATGGTTTGGTTAGCAATGTTTTCATGCGCAGTCTGATTCCGTTAGAATTTTAATTTTAATCAATCGTTGGTGTTACCAGCAGTTATGGGGGCACGAAACAAGCCATCCCAACTCACCGTCATTTCAATTGTGATCATATATTTGCGAATGGACCATTGCTTAGCAAAAGACACCATCTCTTCAGGCCAATCCCTCACAGGAAACCAGCCATAACTTCAAAGCGCAACGACTTTGTTATGGGTTACTTCACACCCGGCAATTCGGGCAATTGGTATATTGGCATCTGGTATGGGAAGGTCTCAGTTCCAACTATAGTATGGGTAGCCAACAGAGACAAGCCATTGCTGTCCATAAGTGCAGGGGACTTGAGGATAGGGTCCGATGGTAACCTAGTGCTCTTGGATGAGTTAGGAAGGGCTCTGTGGTCTACGAATGCAGCTGGAGCCACGAGTGAGTCGCTCGCGACATTGTTGGACTCTGGAAACCTTGTACTGAAACAAGGGAATGATTCGGAGAAGTTGGTATGACAAAGCTTTGATCACCCCACTGATACCTTTTTGCCGGGCTCTAGGCTGAGGTTGAATCGAAGGACCCGTCAAAACCAATTCCTCACGTCATGGACGAGCTCCAAGAACCCCTCACCTGGGCACTATTCCGCGGGCTTCAATCCTCAGAGACCCAAGGAGTTGTCTATTTGGGAGGGCAATGTTGAGTACTGGGCTTCTGGCCCCAGGAACGACCACTTTTTCAGTGGGGTGCCTGAAATGAGGCTCTATTACATTTTTAATTACAGCTTCGTCTATGACGAAGTGAGACTTACTTCACTTACTCGACCTATGATAACTCCACCATTTCAAGGGCGGTGCTCACACCGTTAGGTCATATCCACCAATACACATGGATTCACACAACCCAGGAGTGGAACGTCTTCTCGTCGCAGCCAAGACCTCAATGTGATGTCTACGCTCTCTGTGGAGCCTATGGAATATGCGACAACCATCAGGGCCCATCCCTCTGTAGCTGTATACAAGGCTTTGAGCCAAATTCTTCCGAGCTATGGGACCAGCGAGTTTGGCGGACTGGTTGCGTGAGAAAGGCTGGGTTGAGGTGTTCTAATGGAGAAAGAGATGAATTCGTTGTGATGAGGGGAGGGGAGTTAAGCTACCTGACAGTCCGAGGAGCTTATTTACGAATGGGAGCATGCGAAACTGTGAAGCTGCCTGCCTCACTAACTGTTCATGCCTGGCTTATTCATTATCAGATAAGGCGGGTTGCTCTGTGTGGGATGGGGATCTGAAAGACCTCAAAAGTGTTTGGGATGATGGAGAGGACATTTTCATCCGTGTGGCTGCATCCCATGGTGAGTTCTTCACTGCTCAATTGAGCTTTCAAGTGTACAGATTGAACCGATAGGTAAGTAAGGCGTGTTGGTTCATTGAGCTCAAAATGTAAGTATAGGGCTTGTTTGTTCATTAAGCTCGACATCTAAGTATATGCCTGTTAGTTGATTGAGCTATGGCTAATTAGACAACATTTCAGAAAAGTTATCATTTATCTTAATTTTTAGTCTCCGGGTTAGGGAAAGTGCAGTATTCAGGGTAAATATGTTTTATGCACATTGACCACCATTAAACAGTTTTGGTCGGAGTTATGCAATTTTGACTATGGCAAGCCTTTATTCGAGCATTAACAAGAGGAGTTTCTAAAGCTTTTGAGGACCCAAAAGCTAACAGGCATGTCAGAGCCAAAACGTGGTTGGTTAATATCTTCCCTTTGTAAATGTGCATTGAGGAACTTTTTAATGGCCATTTAGAACATGCCACCCTATTCTTACTATGGGGGTTGAAAGGGCTTCCCATGCAACTATTTCAGTTGCCCATGTTTGGTTGGTATTAGATTTAGAATCAAGCCTAGGAAGGCTACTTAAGCTGTACTCATATCCCTTCTAATTACCTTTCTTTCTTTTTTTGTCGACATGTTAACAAAGTAGGAATGGAACACTTAATGTCACGCTGTGATATCCTTGTAAATTTCGTTTGGCATTAATAACAACAGCATTCCATTGTTGGCTAACAGAATGAGTTTGAACTCGATTGAGACCCCTACTAACTGATTGTGTTCAATTAGTTCATGGGTCTCCATTCCAAAGGATTACTAGTCTATTAAGGTCCAATTAGGCTCTCTTAAGGATCACCATTAAATTGGCCTCCTTAGCCCCACTGATTTCTCACCAAATTGTCTCCCTTTAAGGAATCTATGAAACTTTTGAAGTCTTTGAAACTTGCATTTTTTAATTTTCTCTGTGAGTATGAGTGAGAGTTTCCTTTGATGCAGGCAATGGCCTCTTCAAAATCCTTCTGGCTCTCATCATTGTAGTAGCAACAGTGCTCCTTGGAACCTTGGCATGTTGCATGAGGAAGAGGAGGCAGGCAAAACACAAAAGTAAAGAAATGATGCCCAATCAAAATAGCACTTACATTTATCAAACTAGTGTTTATCATTATTTTCATTTTTTTATCCTTTCTTGAAATTAGATAAGATGGAAGCCAACCAGGAACTATTGGCACTGGAATTGGGTGATACTGGATCTCCAAAATAAACTAAGAAATGGAAAGCAAGGAAAAGCACTAGAGTTACCTTTGGGCACCATCCTAGCTGCCACAAACTACTTCTCCGAAGTCTCTAAACTTGGAGAGGGAGGGTTTGGACCAGTGTACAAGGTAAATTCATCTAAACATCAATAATTTCTGAGTCCTTCATTCGACTGATATTTAACTAAATAAATATATTCAGGGAAATCTACATGAAGGACAGGTAGTTGCTTTCAAAAGACTATCAAAAAGCTCTGGACAAGGTCTAGAGGAGTTCAAAAATGAAGTGATTCTCATTGCAAAGCTTCAACACCGAAATCTTGTTAGGCTTCTAGGTTGCTGCGTCCAAGGGGAGGAAAAGATATTGGTTTACGAGTACATGCCCAATGGGAGCCTTGATGCTTTCCTCTTTGGTTCGACTCTATCACTGATCAATTTGTTAGTTTATCCGCTACTGGAAATAAAGTCAGAATAACTTATACATCTTACTAAAATTTGAAGCAGATCCCTCCAAAGGAGCACAATTGGATTGGGGGCAGTGCTTCAACATTATTGTGGGAGTAGCAAGAGGCCTTCTTTATCTTCATCAAGATTCGAGATTGACAATTATTCATCGTGATCTGAAAGCCAGCAATATTCTTTTGGATTTTGAGATGAATCCAAAGATTTCGGACTTTGGCCTGGCAAGAATTGTGAGTTTGAACCAAGGCCAAGCAAATACAAATAGAGTCGTTGGGACGTAGTAAGTGCAATATCAACTATTCGTTTGCTCATTGCTTTTAAATTCCTATTGCTTTAAGAATCATTACAATAAATTAAAAAAAGTTTTGGCATTTAATTGCATATGAGAAGCAACTGTTGAACTAATCATTGCCTTTGGACCAACCTGGTAAAAGTATTCTTTTCATAGTCACAATATGAAAATGAACTGTATAAAATCTTCGTCCATGTCCAATGCAAGTTACTTGCAGCTCTGCTACAGCCTCTCAGATGCCACACCATCTGTGACCTAATATTTTTTTCAATATGTTTTTAGTTACAAAAGAAACTAGAGTATATTTTGTGGCAGTTGTAATTTGCCTAGTTCAAATAAGATGCTCCCCAATTGTGGTCTATGTATTGTATGAAAGTAAATCTCCTATTATGAATTGGATCACCTATTCCATATTAAATTGGATCACCTATTCCTGGTTTTCAACATGATATCAAAGCCTTGAGGTGGTTGCCTCAATAATGATCAGAGAAGGATAGTTAACATATATTTCAAGTGGTCATGAATTGGTAATCCTGAAATTTAAATGTCTCATGTGACCATGGAATTGACCAATAATGTGGTGTAAATGTTGTTTTCTGGGCACGACAATCATAAGTTGAATGAGATTGACCATGACACCACAAAGACTTGAGTTGCTAGAGATCTTGAAAGACTGACCCCTGGATGAGAAAGGCCTTGGAGGTACCAGAACAGGTTCCTCCCAATGAATTATTCCCTAACTTAAAATACTGGAAACCAGGCTCATATTGAAATTTGTTTAAAACTCCCTGTTGCAGAAGAGTAGGTAGGACCATGGCAAAGTTTCAAGTTTTATGTTTTAAAGTACAGTTTGCTTAGAGGTTTTCTGAGGCCAAGGTGTCGATTTCAATTCGACAAACAACCTGAAGGCCATGAAAAACAGAGATGTTCTGGGCTCAATTAAAGGTAACTGCTGCTCTGATGTATGATCACCAATCATTTTGTTGCCAATTGAAGAAAATAATGCTACGTTGTGTCAAACCATGTCCTTATTTTCAACCAGAAATCCTACTGTGACACTTACTAGACATGAGAGGGAGTGGGTTAGAGAGGGAGCTACGTAGGAGTACTAAACTATTGGGATTTTGTGGCAGGTGTAGGAGAGATGTGGGAAAAGATATCGTTTGGAGCCTTTTTTTTTATTTAATTCTTCTTATATTTTTGTGGTAAGCTTGTATAAAAGAGAATGCTTTGATTCCCATTGAGGTGGGTCCTTATTTTGAATTTAAAAGTAATTTATGAATGAAGAAAGAGAGCTTCTTATTCCCTTTGGCTTTGTTAACAGCCATAGTTCTTCTTCCTTGTGTTACTGATTTAGTGGCTGAGGGTTTGAATGCAGCCAAGTCTACTAGCATCTATCTCTTGGGTGAAATATGATGGGTTAGCATCACCAATAGAGAGGAACTCTTTGTGGTCTCCCCTGCTAACCTTCTCCATCTTTTACCTCTTCTTCACCACTGTCAACATCATTCTCATTACTGCTTTCTTTGGGGGCTAAGAAACCAATTATTCCCATTATCTCAGGAACAATTTCATCACTCTCAGCTGGTTCTTTATGAAAACAGGATCACTATCAAAGACAAGAGCGCTATCAAAGATTTTGACCATTTATTGATTCAAAGAATGTTGAATTTTGACCATTTATTGATTCAAAGAATGTCGAATCCAATTGAAGATTGGATCCCTTTTATTCTTCAAAGTTATGCTTCGGTCGATGCCATTGCACATCGAACGCATCTAGGTAGTTTGACACATAATTAGTTCACTCCCACTCAGATTCTAATCCATGCCAATGTCCATAAAAACGCTCACGTTTGGGTCCAGACATGTAGCTCCCTCTTTGTTTGGGGCACATTGTTCCTGATCTCGCTCACATAGTTGTGCAACCATCCCTCAAATTGTTGATTTTCTTGCATAGTCGGATCATATCACCATTCGTAGACCTCCATGACTAGCCATCGTACTCTAACCGTCTTGACCTGTTCTTTGATACCAAGTAATGCAAAAATAAACCTGGGAAATTAAAAACAAGCAAAATCAGCAACACAGGGTGAAGAACTGTGACTGTATATCAAGCCATAGGGAAGAAGAAGCTCTCTTTCTTCTTTCAAAACTTAATTTTCAATTCTATTTTTCAATAATAACGCACCACTTCAATGGGCATCCAAACCTTCTCTTTTATACAAGCTCACCATAAATAAATTAAAATAAAAGAATAAAAAAAAAGACTCCAAAAGATATATTCTACCGTATCCTGCCACAAAATCCATGTAGTTTAGTACTCTAACCCTTCCCTCATGCCTACTCTCTCTATATATATATATATATAGAACATATCCTATACAAAATCCCCACTTTCTAGGAGCTCATATGACTTTCTTTCTCTCCCCTTGTCATGTACACACTTCTCACCCAAAACCTATTGAAACAGGTCTTCTTTCCCTATCCAGCATGCGCTTCCTAATTTTTTATATCACTTCCCTCTTTTTCTCCTACATTGGTGCACTCTCACATGGACCCTAATCCAAATAGGACTCAAAGTGATCCACCCCCGGAAAAGAAAACCAATTAACCAAATCTAAAAACTCAAGTTACTCCTAATCTTGAAATTTATTTACATCAAGACTTGATGAATTCATCCCTTCGGCGACCTTCCAACTTATCTAGCCAAAGAGCAGCCTTTTGACTATTCCAAAGTACAAAATCCTAATAACTTGGGCATTTCTCTTTCTTAATTTTATCTATATTGTTCCCTTGGTCTTCCAATAAGTGGTTCCGGGTTCCTTAGGTGGATCGAGGATGGTGATACATGTCTACTGACAAATCAAGGATCCTAAACATTATCAGTCACAGTTTAACCTTAATTGATATGATTTTTGTTTTTCTATTAGAATCATACTCTACAGAGTAAGATTGTGCTTCAAGAACAACAATTTGACTTACTTTAGGTGCATGTGGGCCCTCGCGTCTTATGTTGGAGACCTGGGTCATGTGTAGCTGACATTTCTTAGAAATTTTGGCTAACAACCTAGATTCAATACGGGTTTAGTTCGAAAAGGCTGTTTTGAAATAGTTCCGCAAAATAATTATGGCAATCAAAAAAGCTTTCGAAAATTTGAGCCTTATCTATGCTATAATATAGGTATATATGGTCCAAAGTAGAGGGGAGCGACCCACAAAGAAAAACAAAGACATAAATAAATAAATTAAAGTGGTATGGGGCCTGCATTAGATGCTTTCTTTAAAAAATATCATCATCACAGCCTTTTCCTAATTATTTGGGGTCAATTACACGAATCCTAGTATGTCATTCTGCTCTATTAAGACCATACCCTCAGTGACGCCATACGTCACTATATTTTTTCTCATTACTTCCAACTATGCCTTTCCTGGCCTTCCTCTTGCCCTTTTTGAGCCTTCCACTTGAATCAACTCACATCTCATAAAAGGTGTTGTACGGGGTCTGCGTTTGCACTTAGGTAGCCCACCTGAGTCTATTTTCTTTCATCTTATCACCTATTGGAGCTACACCTAAGTTCTCTCACATGTCTTCATTTCGAATTCTATTCCTTCTTGTCTTGCCACTCATCCATCTCAACATCCTCATCTTAGCTACATTCGTCCTATAGGTAATGTTGTTTCTTGACTGCCCAACATTCCGTACCATAAAGCAAAAGTGGTCTACAGCTGTCCTATAGAACTTCCCCTTCAGCTTTAATGGTATGTGGCGATCACATAAACCTCCTATTGTACATCTCCACTTCGCCCACCCAACTCTAATTTTACATGTGACATCTTCCTTAATCTCTCAATTTTCCTGGATAACCAACCCAAGAATAGTAAAATAGTAAAGGTAGTTTCCTTTAACTTTCCTACAATAAAACAACTCATGTTTTATGAATATGAAAATGAAAATCATGGGTAATTTCAAAGGGTTCTTATCATCTCTTTACAGGACTCTTTTAATTGCCTCCTTAGTAAGTCATGTTATCATAATTAAAATTTGTCTTCGGAATCTCTCAACTATACAAGCTTTCAGCCTCTAACAAACTTTTCATATGTAGAATATGCACCAGATGTTGAAATGGAGTGCCTCCTCAATTACATGGTTCCAATTTAATAGATTATGTACTTCAAGCATAAGTACATTTGGCATATTTCACTTCTATACCATATTACATAACATATTCTTTCCATGTGAGGCTGATTCTTCAAAACTTACAGATTAAATTCATCAAAACATTGCCTAATTTAAAGCCATATAAACTACTATGGTTTTCTGATGAATACATGCAGTGGTTATTTGGCTCCTGAGTATGTTATGCATGGCCACTTTTCCACCAAGTCTGATATCTTCAGCTTTGGGGTACTATTGTTGGAGATTGTGAGTAGAAAGAAGACCAAAGCATTCTATGATCCTGAACTTAATCTAAGCCTTCTGGGATGTGTAAGTTTCTCTCCACTCACCTCTTTGTCTATTTCAAAATGTGAAGTTGCATGATGAATGGGATCTTATAAGTCCTCGCCGAGTACTGCAACTTTTGGATGCTTTCTAGAGTCTAATGTAACATTGTAAATTGTGCATTATTTCTGACAATTAATGAAAGTAAAAGTTCACGATAACAAGACATAAAAAAAATCTCATTTTCCAATGGTGTAGGCATGGAATCTGTGGCGAGAAGGCAGGGGCTTCGAGCTGATAGATCCTTCTTTAAGAGAATCATGTAGGGAAAGTGAAGTAATGAGATGCGTACACATAGGGCTTCAGCAAGACCCACCATGTCATCCATTGTTTCTATGTTAGGTAATGAGATGGCTAGTCTTCCTTCACCAACACAACCTGCATTTGCTTTTGGAACCAGTGCAAGTGTGATAAATAATGGAAGTTCGGGAGAGCCAGTTCCATCGAGGAACATGGTTACAATGTCGGCATTTGTAGCACGGTAAAGTACCTTTTCTGTGAGAGTGGTTTCTCTCCCCAAGATTAGATAGAGGAGACAACATTCTTTGGTTGTTCTTGTTTATTCATATGCAGGTGCATCCATTTTATGTTAAGAATTTTGAAATGCGAAATGTTATGTTTGTGGAACAAGCCTTATGAAATCACCAAGCAATTGTTGTTGTAATAATTTGTTACTACAAAATTGAACTTTCTCACTTAAAATGAAACTGTGTTCACTGCCATCAGTACACTGGTTGAGCACATGAATTTGAAAGAAAAGAGATACAAAATGTTGTAGGAAGAAAATGGTGAAGTTCGATTAGGGGTTTAAGCCGGTACCGTACATATTGTATGAATGTGTAAAGAATCTACAAAAGGAAATCTATGAGGTTAAAATTTAAGGGGCTGTCACGAGCTCTAAATATACAAGTTTCATCACTGCGTCACAGAATTGTATACTCTAAGTCTCAAAGCTATCAGCCTACTGTAAATAAACTTTGTAATGCATTATGCTTTCATGGAGAGTACTCTTAAAACCAGAGTTTTATATCCGAAGATTTTCGATCCGGATCGTTAATTTGGATGGGAATTGATCAGGACCAAATCAATAATGGGATGAGATGGGTCATGGTCCTATTCTCGACCTTTATATTCTTTTTTTGTGCTTGTCTGATGTTTTTTTAGGTCCCCTTAAATCCCTACTCCATAAAACCTCTATTTTTTATTTTATTTTGTTTTTGAATTTTTTAGATCTTCAATTCAGACTGATCCCAACCTGATCTAGCAATTGAGCATGGATTCATGCTCCTATGATCCGTCTCACCGATCCGGCATTGGTCTTACCCCTTCTAGCATTGAATGGTCTTTGTTCAATCGTGAGATATTATCTTTTTTAGGCACAACAATTTTATTTTCTTTTTGAAGTCAATTGCCCATTTAAAAAGGTTGCATCTCAAAATTTTGGAGTCCTAAGAATTCTCATGGATTTTGTTTTACCTGAGAGAAAATAAATATTAGCTTCCTGCGAGAGCACAAAATCTTTTGGCTTCAAATCTTTGGAGAGCCTTTTTTATTTTATTTTTTGGGTAAATGTGGTTTGTATAAATGTATATTCAAAAATCTTATTTTCAATTTTATAGTGTGTATTCAAAATCAAGTAACTAACTAGACATTCCAATTGGGTGCGGTTTCTATAAGGTTTCAACTTTAAACAATCCAATTAAGGCGCACCTTAAAATTTGATCATAACATGTAATTTTGTTATAAAAAATTATTAGTATTATCTTAAAATCCATTTTCATATTGAATTAGAAAATTTTAAATTTAAAAAATGGTTAAATTCAAGTAGATTTATAAATATGTAAAAATCTTGAAAATGGACGGTCTAAATGATTTGTTGCAAGATGCACTATTTTCGGGACTAAAACTTTTTTTTTTTTCATATTCATACATCTCAATGTCGAGATGATCCACTAGAGAGTCTTTTCAACATTAAAACAACATTTTCAATAGATTTTTGAGGTGCATATGTGATTGTACATTTTAAGGTTGCAATCTTATATAAACTTTTCTTTATCAATAAACTAAACGAATCAGGCAAGTTTCAATGCATGCCTTTTGGAAATGGAGTGTGTTGGAAAAGTCGACTGGGGAACCAAGTACTCGCAGGTAGAGCCAAGTACTGTAGCACTTGGAAATTATTAAAAAAATAAAAAATATTAAAAAATAAGAAAAATATATTCAAAGTAAAATTTAACAAAGTACAAGTAATTATGGTTAAAATGTAACAAAAAACTATATTTTAAGAAATGAGTTTGTGAAGGGGAATATTTTTAAATTATTTAAAAAAATAGAAAATATAAAAATAAGTATTTATGGCCAAAATAATTTTTAATATTTGTCAAAATGATAGAAAACATAAAAAAACATGTTGCAAATATTTTTATTTTTATTTTTTTTAAAGACTTTTTATGATTTGGAATTGTTTTTTTTAAAAAATTTTTGAGTTGAACCTCCATAAACAACTCAGGCTCGGCAAGGGCCAGAGCCCAAACAACTCGGCCAAGTAGAAACTACTTGGCTGACTTTGCGAACGCCCGAATAAACATTAGTTGCCTACATTATCTGAATAACAAAATCCAATGGTAATAGCCCTTGTAAGATGCATGAGTCTACCATGTGTTTTTTCTTTTCGTTTGCCTTGTTAAGTCACTTCCAACACATTTTAATTAATTTATAGCTCAAAAAGTAATGCAGATTTGATAATTTATGAATAATCAAAATCAATAATCCGATGTTTAAAATAAGCTATGTTTTTTTTGAAATTTAATATATACTTTTTTTAAAGGTACAAATCCATAAATTTGATAATACGATTATTAATGTTTGAATTTTGGATCAAAATTATTAAGAAAAGTATTTGATAGAGCTACAGCTCTATCAAAACAAGTAAAGCCTTACCTCATAACTCATTGAAAATAGCAATTCAAGTATTAGAAACCATTTATATAAGTTATCTCGGCTTGAATATTACGGTTGTGAAAAAATAGGATTTCAAGCTTTAAAAATAATGTATATTTAACAAATTATCTAAATTATCCATTTTGCCCTAAAAATAAGTGCCTGAAGATCCGTAAGATTTGTACCATTTTTGAAGTTTCAAATTTAATTGTTGGTGTTGAAAATTGATTTTAGAGCCATTATGTTGTCAAAAGTGTAGATCTGCAAGATTTGTATTATTTTTTAAGCTTCAAATTTCATTGTCGATATTAAAAATTGATTTTAGAGCTATCATGGAAATTTCTGTTGCCAAAAGTGCTTTCTCGACAAGCATTCTAGGTGAGGGTTTATTTTGCCATATAGAAATCTTATGCAAATCTATGGAAGTTTGGTTAAGGAGACCGCGTTTGGATTGGTGTGTCCGCTCGTGCACCAAATCTTAATTGCAAACCCAACTTGGGACAAAAACCTAATTTCGAATCTTGCAGGGACGGAAATCCAATTTCTCGACGACATACTGCACAAAAATCAGGACCATATTGGTATTGTGAAATTTGACAAGGATATTTTTGACATCCTCGAAAAACATTTCCTTCACACATTTGGGAGTGGGGCGGTCCTTTGCGGAATCATCTAGACTCTCTGATCTGTAAAAGGAAAAACCCTAATTCCATTGTGTGTGCGATTTTAATGGTGATTTTCCTTACCTCTAGGGTGTCTGCTTAAGCTGCTTTTCCTTTGAATCTGTGCTTGCCAATGATTGTCCCGTTCTAAACAGAATTAGGTTTCAATTACGTTCGTAGTATCACCATGGCCAACCTTCTCAGCGAATTGGAGAGATTCGAGCAAGAGATGAAGGAATTGGACGATACACAACCTTCTTCATCTTCTCCACGCACTGTAACAGAGGTCTCTCTCTCTCTTCTCCAGTTTGTTTCCGTTAATGAGGTCTACATTTCTTTGTTCTTTTATGGAATCGTGATTGCTTGTGCTGTTTCCTTTGCATATCTGTTCTTACTCAATGGTTGTTTTAACATAAAATATGAGGATTAATTGTTGTTTAAAATATTTTGTTCATTGTTTTGTATCGATTTATTTAATGTATTCTATGAACTCAAGGGGATTCTCGACTTTTGATTGGCATTAGATTACCTCTGACTGTTTGTTAAATTTCTAGCGTCTTTTTTAAGGAATGCACAAACAAAATTAAATTTTGCAAGAGTGGATTTTTATACTTATTTAAAGAAACAGAATGAAATCAGCAAAACGACAACTGCCAACCAAAAAAAAATTAGAGAGAACAAAACTCAATGTATGGAAAGAAGGGTTCAATCTTGAAAATGTGGTTATCTGAATGAGTGTGATTCTCGAAGTGAATCTGCTGTAATGTGGCAATCAATTTGATGCTTTGGCCTCACTGCCGCTTTCTCTTGGATCTCTTATATTTTTATTTATCATTTTTTCTAAAAGCCTTAATACTACTCATTGTTGTTATTCATGTATTTATTATTGTATCTGCCTAGAAAACGAACTTAATGTTGAATTGCTTCATATTAAAATGTAGTCATTCTTGGCATTTACATCATGTAAAGTACATGCTCTTACTCTTGGTTTAACACATATGCAGCCTGGCACACATTCCTCCAGAGATGGCATTACCCGATCGGAACCATCTTCCACCCCAATTATTTCTCCACCAAAACCACCGTCTACCATTGCTCAATCAGCTTCTGTGGCCTCTGTTACACCTCAATCGCAATGGAATAACAATGGTATTAGACCTAATTCATCGGTTGGTCTACCTTTACCTCCCCCTAATACCTCATCTTCTTCACAATTTACATTCTCAAATGCATCATATGGCAGTGGGCCTGCGATTCCAACTCCACCAATCGCATCGGTTCCAACACCACCTGCACCATTCTTTCCTCTACCTTTTCATCTTCAAAAGCCAGGTGATCAACTTGTTCAACAACTACCAGAGCAACAATATCTTATTCAGGAGCAACAACAAACAGAGCAACAGTACCATGTTCAACCTCAATATGCAGTTCCACAGTTCCAACCTCCTATTCAGAAGCAATATCCTTTGACGCAACTCCCCCAACCTCCCAAAGTTCAAGTACCACAGGTTACGTATCCTCAGATGTATCCTGCTCCAGCACTGTATCCTGCTCCAGCACCTGTAGCAGGGTTATATTCTCTACCCCAGTATCAACAGGTATATAGTAACTGAACTTGCTCACCTCTCAAAATATTATTTTAGGAGAGTATTTTAATACTATATTTCAATGGACTGTGGAAAGAGAAAAGCTACAGTTCACTGGGTCTCAGCCTCTGCTGAAGTTGGAGATGGAGAAAGAATGGGACCCACTATTAGATTAGTAATGACCTAGTGGGTCCTACTGTCTTTTATCGTCATTTTTTGTGTAGGGAATGTGATGACCCAATCGGTGTGGTCATTTCACAATACATTTAGTTTTAGTATTCTATCCTTATGTTTTGTACATTGCTTGTTTGGATTTTTTTTTAATACCCCTTTGTGTGTGAATATACTGGTTTATGGATCTAGTCTTGTGGTTACAGTAAATATCACTTTTTGAAAACCTTTTATGGCTCATGGAAATGTGCTAACGGTTCACTTACTGACTGATACATAACTAGAACAGGCCCAGCAGTTGTTCCAGAGGGATGCTCAGACCATCACACCGGAAGCTCTCGAGAGTGTGAAAGCCGCTCTTGCTAGCAGTGAAAATGAACACAAGGCAGAAACAAAGAAGAAAGCATTACCTCGAAAAGCTGCAGGGCAGACATGGGAGGACCCAACACTTGCAGAGTGGCCTGAAAGTATGACCTGTCTTTTCATTATATTCCCTTTCATGTACCTTTTTTTTCATTATATTCTCTTCCATTTACCTTTTCATTATACTCTTCCATGTACGTTGCATTTGATCATTGTTGTTGTAGATGAATGCATCAAATGGACCAAATATGTTTGCCTGAAGCAGTGAAAGGAAACACGAACGCATGTCGGGACTCAGAAGGATGTTGTGTCCTAGTCTGTTTGACAGACTTGTCCGAGTCTGTCAAAAAATGTTTTAAAATAATGAGAATCAAGCAAAGTCAGCCTGTTCTCATGTGTATTGTTCCAGACTCAGCATCTTCCTGAGTGCTGGGGCGAGTCCACTTGGATTCACCTGAGTTTTCTTTCACTGATATGAATATTTGAGAGAAGAAACTCCAGAAACATTCAGGGTAACAAGTCCATGATTATCATTCTTTCTCACCCAAAAAAATAAATAAATCATTTGTCACTTGATTCATGTATTTAGTGTACTAGGTTAATGGCAAGGAAGTAAACAAACTTATGAATATGGATGAATACAAACATAAGATTGGGATACCCTTACACGGTTATATAAAGTGACATAGTACATTAGTAACACCCCCCCCCAACCCCCCACCCCCCCTTGAGCTAAGTATGAAGCTCTAACATGAACAACCTGTTAATTGGTGGATGTTTTGTCTTGGTTGAGGCCATCAAACATATCTGCCGTGGAACACACACTGAGTTTATTTTATCTTCATTTCCCTTCAGTAAGGTTAGGTTACTGCAGTAATCTGCCTTGTGATGGTTGTGTGAGAACTGTATGTGGTTAAGTTTAAACCTAAGTGGATTGGAGTTATTGCTGTTGGGTTATGAAGCTGGGGGTGCTTCAAGGTCTGTAGGATAGAGTTTTCCTTGTGATGGTTGAGTGAGGGCTGTATGTGGTTAAGTTTAAACCTAAGTGGATTGGAGTTATTGTTGTTGGGTTCAGAAGCTGGGGGGTGCTTTAAGGTCTATAGGATAGAGTTTTCATAGGCCCTAGCAGATCACGCATCTGACTTTGATGGCCAAGGAGTACGAGTAGCAGGTGTTTGGCATGGGTAATATGTCGCATTTAGGGGTTAACTTTGGTCTAAGACCTTTTTTTTTTGTGAGTTTTTTACAGTTTTACTCATTCATTTGCTCTATGGAGATTTCTTTTCAACATCTTGGGGAAGCCTATGTGATGGCTGGTTTATTAGTCAGGTTTGGAGTCCACACGACTTAATAAGGTGGACTTTCATAGTTGATAATAAAATATATCCCAATATTATGGGCCTGATTCTTTCTTAGTTGATAGCAAATCATATTCCTAATGTTACGAGCCTCTTGTATTATTTGTTTATATATTTATATAAGGAATGGATTGGATGCTTGTCTTTCAAGTTTGAGACTTAAAGGGTGCAGTGAACCCATGAGGATTGAAATAGGTTAAAGGATACTCTGTGGACAAGATGATAACGGAGTGTGTAAAGCACCCATGGGTATGGTAATTTTTAGACGGAAAAATTTATATAAGGAATCAACTTTGTACTATAGAAGTAAGGCACAACTCAAAACCCACTGAGGTTGTTCCGACGCTAGAAAACCTTTCAATTGGATCATCTCAACCCCTGAAATGTATGGATATGGGAAAAACAAAGATTTCAAGTCCAAAAAATTGTGTATCTTGTAAGAAAATCTTGATAGCATACTATCACCCTGTAAGTGTTATATAAGGAATCAACCTTGTACTATAGAAGTAAGGCACACCTCAAAACCCACTGAGGTTGTTCCGGCGCTAGAAAACCTTCCAATTGGATCATCTCAACCCCTGAAATGTATGGATATGGGAAAAAAAAAAGATTTAAAGTCCTAAAAATAGTGTGTCTTGTAAGATTTCAACCTTCTAAGAAAATCTTGATAGCATACGAAATCCCAAAAGGTGATTCAGAAATACCACCAAGGGAAACTATCATAACAGTTGACAGCCCAGGTGGACCATCACCCTTGCCCGTCTCTGGTTTGGCTGGCTGTCCATCTGGGCTATTGATTGGTGTGAGGCTGTTGATCTGTCCTCCACCCATAAAAATAAAGTTCATAAATAGGTTTTAAATTGCACTTTTTGTTTTCCTTTGTTCTTTGACATCTTGGGTGTATGTCTAGCTATTTTAAGAACAAATGAACAACTATCATACTTGAAGTTCTGTAGCTTTATGCGATCATGTATATTGCACTTCAGATCCTGCTTCAGAGAAGAAAACTCAGTAAAATAATAAAGTTTATATGATGCAGATGCTTAAAACTGCTTCATTGGTTATTCAATATTAGGCATCTTTTGAAGAAATTGGGTCACACCATCCTTGCTTTGTTGTGCCTTTGATATTCTTTCTTTATATAAATGATGGTCTGTTTTGTATGACGACAGCTTGATTAGACATTTTAGATTGTTGTAGCTAAGGATAAAGGTGCAGCACCAATCATAACATTCTTTTTTCTGTATAGTGGAAATGCAACTCTGTCCTACCTACGCTAGCTGTCTCAAGTGGTTTTCTGCAGTATCTTTATATCTGATGCCCATGATTTTATAGTTTTTCATCTTTCTTGATGTGTGTGCCTTGCTTTTCACTACTGTTTGTGGGAGTAATATTTTTCTGATTCTAAAGGTTATCTGCAGATGACTATCGCTTATTTTGTGGGGATCTTGGCAATGAAGTGAATGATGAGGTTCTTTCGAAAGCATTTTCACGTTTTGCTGGCTTCAACATGGCTCGAGTAAGCTCCCATGGAACTTCTGCCCACTTTTCTTTGTGCTTATTTTTGCAATGCTTCATAGGCCCATATTTAGACAGCTTTCTGGGAGCATCAGATTTACGTGTTCATGGGCTTGTGTGACTTAGATTACTGGAAATTTGAAAATGACTTTCACCTCTGATTGTGCGTGGTGCACCGTTATCACTGTAGTTTGTTTGTGGATTTCTGATTTTGTATCAGTTATATTCTAGGTATATTATTTACCAGAAAAACAAAAGGAAAGCTATACATATTGTTTCTAAGTTTGGCGTTCATATAAGACATCAAGAAAATGTAAACTGGTGATGGTTGCATAGAAACAATTCAAGAACTTATAGGAAAAAGAAATGATATATGAAGAACAAGTTCTCGTTTTTGCTTATTGTGATCGTTACAGTGTATTTAATGTATCAAGCTGTAGTACAACTCAGCTTTATGACTACCTGCTTTATTACATTGAACGAAAGATAATGCATTTGGCACATAGTTTATCAGTATATACTACTGATATCTGTATTTATCTTGGAGGATTATGATAAAATTATGCATTGAATTGATATATATTGTATATAGCGATTTTACTTTGCTTGATCTGAACCCTATGGTTGGGCTCAATTGGCACATACTGTCATTTCTATGTTTGATTTTTTTGTCATACTAAATCATTGACTGGATACCGCTAGGAACTTTTATTTGAGTCTTCAAGAACTTCATTCTTAAATTGTTTTCACGGGATTGACTTAGATGTTCGGAGAAGCATCATACTCAGTTGCCGAGGCTTATACAGATAGGTTGATCATATGATTAAGTCAATTTGGATCTGTTGCATCAAATAATTCTGGAGATAGCATATGGAGTGTAGAGCATTTTCTGGGACACAGTTCTGGTATTCTTTCTTTTCATTATACGCATATACCAAAAGATTGCTCTGCCCAAGGGCGGACCGCTGCAGCAATTGGCATAATCTTTGAGGGACTTAGAGACATTTGTTCAGAACCAAATTTTGCACACACACTCTCTTGGATCTGACGAACAAGACTGAAAAGAAATTTTGGAAAAAAGCGCTAAAAAACTTTATTTTTAGGAGGAGGAAAAGGTTGTCCGATAAATGTATTTCTAAGATGTTGTTAAATTAAAAAATAAATTAAAAAAATGGAGTCCTTTATGGACTTGATCTGATGGTACCTAAAGTGGTCCATCTGTGTTCACTGGGGTCGATCCCCAATATTTTGGGTCCATAGTGTTCCCTTAGCTATGATTTTGAGCTAGAGTCCTCTTGGGTGGACCAAACCCCTCTCTCTCTCTCT